CGCACTCTCGCCTGCATTTCGCGCGCTCGACACGCACGATCTCCGCAGAGGGTTGCGCGGGCACCGGACAAATCGCGCTCTCGCCTGCATTTCGCGCACTCGACACGCGCGATCTCCGCAGAGGGTTGCACGCGCGCGGGACAAATCGCACTCTCGCCTGCATTTCGCGCGCTCGACGCGCACGATCTCCGCAGAGGGTTGCGCGTCAAGTCTCCAAAACGAGCGTTTCGTACGAGGCGTCCTCAAAAGCTCACGCGTCAAAGCCTGCAAACCGAGCGTTTCGTACGACGAGACTTCCTCCAAAAGTCAAGCGGAAACACCCATCGGAGCACACACACATCACGCAGCCCTGCCAAGCAGTTTCGCGATTCCAGCCCCTCCAAACAACGTCCGCTCACACGCCAATCCCAATGTGACAGCGACATTCGCCTCTACCACAACTCACAACCTCACGATTCCCTGCACCTGCCACGAATCTTTCCGCGTCCACACGTCTAACGCGCGCAAAGTACTGCGCCAGCCACGAAATGTCACCTCCGTCACACCTCGCAACCTCACGATTCCTGCGGCCTGCCACGAGAATCGCGCTTCCACGCCTCAAAACCCGCACAAAGTCCTGCGCCTGCCACGAAAAGTGACGATATCATCTCATGTGAGCTTCAACAAAATGTCCACCACACCACACGTTTGGAATGATTTTGACCCGTTCTGAGCACACTCCCATCCACCAAAATCGCCACTTCAGCTGAGACTTGTCACGAAAACCGAGCTTCGATGCCACACCCTGAAATGCAAATCTCAATGGCGCGGCCACATCCAACACCCCAAAAACACGACTCTCCAAACGCTAATCCCAATGGAACTGCACAGCAATCTGCGGATCTCACAAAACGCTGCGCCCGTGCAGCGAAATGCATCACGTTTCTTGCGCGACATGTCGTTGTCATGCAAATCACAATGGAATAGCGGCGCAAACTGACACGTGACACGTCCATGAAAAGTCACTTGCAAAAGCTTCCCCCAATGGCAGTAAATTTGAGACGCGACGACGACGACAAACGACGAGAGACGACGACAAACGACGACGCGACGCAAGCCACGCAAACACAGCTCCAACCCCCAGACCCCCAACTATATATACTATAAACGGGAACCCTTCGCTACGCATTCGGGAAAAAGGGAAAGGAACTCTTAAGAGGTTGACACACACACACACACACTTAGACAATGGGTTTGCAGTTAACTCAGCGCCACGAGA